CCACCAGCCCTTCAACCAACAATCACCAAATCCTCTCCAGGCGTCTGGCAAACAAGGTCTACATTCTTTGGCCCTGATGCCCCTCAAGCATGGGCCTCAGCAAGGTCCTCCAAAGCCGGCCTTCCAGAGGCCGCTGTTGCCATATCCCGTCCCTCTTGGCCAAATGGTGCCAAACTTCAATTAGAAATGGCTCTTTTTTTGTGTATTGGGGTCTGGGGAAACTCAACAGCTCTCGCCTAGGGCAGCGCTTAATGCGAAGTGGCTTACCACAAACGCAATTTGTCCCCGCTCCTCCACGGAGTGGTAATGTTTGGTGCCCTTCTCTTGGCATCTGGGCTGGCCTCAGAGACTCGCTTAGTGTAGACTAAGCTGCACATCGTGTCACAAGAGTTTTAAGACTGTCAGAAGATGCCTTGCGGCCACCGACTGAGCTGAGCCTCTAGAGACACCTTCTCTCAGAGCCATAGCTGCCAAGTGTGTCTAGCTGTCCTGAAGCCATTATGTTGTGAGAAAACCCAAAATGTGCGTTTGTGTGTGTGTTAGTGCATGTATGTGTGTGAGCCAGTGTGTATGTGTGTGTGTGTGACTCTGGTCGGCATGTTGGTTGAGCTGGCTCACATCCAGGCGCTAAAATGTCCTTTTGTGAGCCGATCTGCCATTGCTCAGTTGACACCATGAGTGTGGTGGGTGAACCCTCTCAACTTACAGAATCTCAAGCAACGATACATGGCTTCAAAGACTTGATTTTGAGGTTCCTCGCTGTATACTTATATGTAACCAGAAGAGTGCTCCCCAACGGTTGATTGGATGAATAAATGATTCCTTTTTTTTTTTTTTCCTGTGGAGTTCAAGTGGTATCTCTGCCCTATTCAGTTGCTCTCCCTGTTGCTTGGGAAATAAGGTGAGACTTTATTGCTTGCTCTCTCGGCATGAATCCAGCCTATGCTAAAGTCTGAGCTATTTCCCAAACACTCGAACGTTTCTGCAACACCATTTCCTCTACTTACCCATACCCTGCGCTCTCATTCCAAACGCCCCTCTCTCTCCCAACCTTGTTCCGCAGGTTGACATTCAACTTGCTCATTGTCAAACACCTTCCCTGGCTGCCCAGGCCTGCTGGACACTGTCCTCTCTCTCTGGCCTTCTCATCTGACGGTTTAAAACCTTTTTCACTGCCTTGAGTCTCCCTCGTTTCTCACCCCTTACCGAGTGGCCACCTCTTTGCGTGGGGTGGGAAAAGGGGAAAGCATTGATCCCTTAGGGGATACACAGTTCACCTGCACTGAGACTGACCTGGATGTGGAATGGCACACGCCACTTTCCAAGCTAACTGCTCAAGTCCTTGAAGGACAGAGATCACCAGGAGAGGCATGAGCTTTGGTGGTGGCTTGGGTTTTGAATCATAACTGTGTCGCTTTGGGCAAAATTTTTAAACTCTCCGAGCTCTAGTTTCCTTAGTTGGAAGCCAGGGAGGCCTCAGATGAGAACAGGCCCACTGGACCTAGCTTGGTGCTTGGTGTAAGAGAAACTCTCAACGTATGCCGGCTGCATGGGTGCAACAGACTGGCCAGTCAGCTTGAGGAGCACCTGGGATGGTGTCAGTTCAGAACTCTTTCCTAAAGAATAAGGGAAAGGAAAGAATGGGGGAGGGGGGTGAGAGAGAATGGCGAAGGGGAGAGAGGTAGATGTAGGGGGTTAGGAGGAGGGATAGGGGTTTGATAGGGATACAGGGATATGGAGAAGGAGGAAGGAGGGAAGGAGAGAGAAAGAGAGAGAGAGAGGCCAAAGCCAAGAGTATTAGTCTGTGTGATGTCAGCAAGCGGCTGCTGAGGGCCACTCTGTCTTCCCATCAGCCGATTGAGCGGTGGGCACTGGAATCTAAGCTCCCCTCCAGCCCTAACATTCCAAGGGCATTAAAGAAAAAGGATGAATCACCCCCTTCAAAAATACCAATATGGGCTGGGCCCTCCCCCTGCTGTCCCCTTCTAGCCCAGCTAAGAGCTCTTAATACGCAGCCCGCTTCCTCCTGCAGCTGCCGCAGGGCTTCAAGCCCCTCTCCCAGGAGTCTCAGAAGCAAGACTGATAATGGACCTCCGGCTTCTGTGTCTCAACAGCGAGCCAGATCTCGTTCCCAGACTCTGGGGGGCCGTGTGGGGGCCTTCCGTGGACATTCGACCTCGGTTTCCTTGAGCGTGGAGAGGGGCCGGGTGTTGAAAGGGTGGAAGGAAAGCAGGGGAGAAATTGAAAAGAGAGAGGGAAACCCTCACAACCCTGAGGGGAGGGAAGGTGGTCCGGACCCTCTCTCTGCACCCTGACTGGTCCTGGATTTGGCAAAGGCGACGCGTCTGTAATCGTTATAAATCTCCGTGGGGGGCGCGTGTGTGTGTGTGACACCGTCCCCCAGTAGCTGTATTTAGTTCATAGACACAGGACGCCCCAGTTTTTCTCCTCCTGGGAGAACAGGCAGTCGGGGACGGCGGGGACGGCGCCTCCCCGCTCACAGCCCTCTCCCTTCACACGACAGCACTATCGCCACTAAAGCTGGTTGCAGGACCAGCGCCTCCTGCCTTCCTGTGCCGGGACCGCCCGCGTCCTGCAGGGTCGTCCGTGCGCGCGCGGAGCCGTCCCGGGGCCAGCCCTCCAGGTCCGTCCGTGCGGTGGTGGTCTGCGGCCCGTCACGTCTGCAGCGCGGGGTCCTCCCAGCTCACCCCGGCTCCCCGCTCTGAAAGCCGAGAAGCTCGCCGGCTGCGAGCGAGCGGGTTTTCCAAGTGGGCAGGGGTGGGGAGGAGGGGCGCGGGCGGGCGGGCCTGAGGCGGGGGGGGGGGGGGGGGGGGGGGGGGGGGGGGGGGGGGGGGGGGGGGGGGGGGGGGGGGGGGGGAGGGGGAGGAGGAGGAGGAGGAGGAGGAGGAGGAGGAGGAGGAGGGGGCGTCGCGGAGGGAAGACCTCGCATTGTAATCCAATGACATGACCGACGTGGGGGTGGGGGCGCTGGCCTCCGCGCGCTCTCCGAGTTTTGGCTGCCCGCCCAGCTGGGAATAACTCTCTTCGCATAATTCGCGTGTTTACCAGGCATGAAAATTCTTGCTTTGGGCTCCCCCCCACCCCACCCCCGCCCCGCTCCCCGACCCAAGCCCCCTCCTCGTCCCTCCTCCCCACCTCCTCCGCCCCTCGCAAGTGAAACTCTGTCTACAAAAATATTGGCCCGGGGCACAGAAAGTTTTGCATAAATTCATAAGTGATGAATGGCCGATTTTTTAACGTTATTTGGGTATTTGTCAGAACTTAACAAATATACACGGGGACGGGCGGTTCATAAACTTAAACATCTCAATATCCTCTTTCTTCTGGAAATAAATTACGTTTGTTTGCTCGGCTCGGAGTCTTAAGGTAGCCGACATTAGGAATATTTTAAAAGCCATCATCCATCGAGCATGTCTCCCAGGCGCCAGAAAGATTAAATGAAAGAATCATAAGATGGAGGTCTTTAACTTTTAATCCTTTTACAATGAAGCCTCAGATAGTCGCGGGGGCAGGGTGCCCTCTCTGGGGGGAATAATGCCGTTATTCCTTGGCTCCCAGTTAATGAATACCCTAACGTCTGTCCCACGGCTGACGGAGGCAGCGCCGGGGAGGGGGCTCCGGCTCCCGGGCCAGGCTATTGAAATGAGGAGCCACCGAGGCTGTGTCGGGAGGGAAGAAAGCGCCGAGCTGGAGGGACAGGGAGGGCGGGGCCCGGGGCTTTGAGACAGAGCTGGGGACCAGGCGCAGGTTTGAAATAATTAGCATAGATTCGCTCGCAGCTCCGGAGTGTGGGGTGTGTGGTGGCGGTGGGGAGAGCTGGGGGCGGAGGGGGGGGAAGGCGGAGGACAGGAGGCCGGGAGGGAGGCGCGACGAGGTGGCAAGGGGGTGGGAAGGGGAGCGAAGGAGTGCGACCGCGGCTTCCAAGATAAATAAAAGGATGGCGGGGGGGGGGGGGGGGGGGGCAGGGGGCCGGCCCACGTGGAGGGGTGTGGGGTGGCCGCCACTGGGGGGTTGAGGTGGCGGGATGCACGGGAGAGGGTCCGGAGCCGGTCCCTAGAAGTTGGATTTTTAAGGGGTGGGGTGCAGTGATGTTTGCCCGGACGCTCTAAGGCGTCACTGTGCCTCTATCTGACCCTAAAGCGCAAAATCCCGTTCTGTTTTTTTCCCCCTCCCTTCTCACCCCCCCCCCCAGTGGGATAAGTGTCCAGGGAGGGGTCTTGTCTCTCTCCTCGACTGCAGATCCCAGGGCTGTGATTTGTCCCCCGGGTTCACACCCCTCTGAAATTTGGGACCTCAGTCTTCCTTAGGTCCCCGGAGGAGGCCCAGGTGAGTGTCAGATATCTAAATTCCCTCTCCCTGGTCAGTCGTGGGCCTGCAGGATCCCTGAGGTTGTAGGTGGTTGAATCCAAGAGATCGCTTTAGCCCCAACCTCTGTATTTTCCGGGCATGCAAAGGGTTAACAAGGGCTGGGTACGGCGGTGGGGGTGCAAGGAGGGTGGGCGCGCTCCGACCCCCCCCCCACTCCTCGGGGGTCAAGTTTCAGCGGCACTCCGCCCCCAGGGAAGGTGTGAAAGACGCGTGTCCCCATTGTGAAGGGCCTGTCAGGCCGGACAAAGCAGCCGCCCCCCCTCCCTCTCCCTCCTCATCTGCCCAGCCCGGGGTCAGCTCCAGGGGGCCGGCTGGGTGTCGAGGTCACTACAGGCCCGAGCTTTGGTGTCACGGGGGAGGGTCCCCTGCGAGACTTGGTAGGAGCCACGTGATACTTAATAAGATGGGGTTGGAGAGTAACACTCCCCCCCCCCCCCCCCACACACACACATACACACGCTGAACATTTTACAGTCACCTTCATCACCCCACAGGAGAGGAGTCCGGACGGACGAGCTTGTCTCCCAATAGGCGTGGTAAGCGCGGCGACATCCCCCCATCCCCCCCATCAATCACCAACGCAGTGAATCACAGTGTGGAGCACAGTCGGTTTTAGTGGTTTTCTTTAATCCTGTTCTGCACTTCTTCCTTATTTACTACACGGGATATTATAAAGAATAAATAGCAGATACTCTTAATTTACAATGATTAGTCATTCCATTTGTTCTCTATATTTACAATAACTGTAAAATAACATTGAACTCTATAGCTTCTTCGAGGTCTAGGGAAAATCAAAACACTTTCCGAAGAATGGAAAATAGCTTTTTTTTTTAAGTCCTTCTACAAACGTTCCCCCTCTCTTTGTACTTTTAAGAAAAAAATAACTTTTCCCCCCTGCTTCGCCATGCGAAGGACACTGTGGGCTATAAATAGGTTAACATTATTACCAACAACCAGAATAAGTCTCTCTTTTTCTCTGCTCTTTTTTTTTTCTTAGCTTGCTTTTCTTTTTTTTAAATACAGTAGAAGCCGGTAACTTTTGACGTATAATACTGACCTTTTAATAAGTAAATTAAAACTGGGACCGTATATACACACACATATACATTCCTACACAGTTAAACAGTGCATTGCATGAACCAGAAAGCCAGGTCTCTGTAGCCAAGAAGAAGAAGAAGAAGGAAAAAAAAAAAAGTTCATTGAAAACCCTCGCTAGAGGGTGGTGGAACTGGTTGGAGGCGGTGTGTGTGTGGGGGCGTCGGTTGGGATCCGTCAAGTGTCTGGGCGCGGGCAGGGGGCCCCCCGAGTTCTAGCAGGAACACTTACACTCGGAGATGATGGGGTACTGGATGGGAATCCAGCCGCAGCGCTGGCCCCCGCGCCGCTGACAGCGCCACCGCAGCACCGTGAGGTGAACGGACTTGGAGGGCTTACACACCATGCCCTCGGGCACGGAGCAGGAACGCTTGCTGAAGCAGCTGCCCACCTTCACGTAGCGCGGCCAGAAGCGGCTGCCCAGGTCGTTCCACGCGTACAGCACCGGGCAGAAGGTCTGCGACCACAGCCACAGCTGTAACTTCCTCCTCAGCTTCTTGCTGAGGCGCTGCTTCTTGCCTTGGGCCAAGCCCTCGGAGAACTCCAGCCCTTTGATCTCGCTCGGCATGGCCCCCGACGGCCGCTGCCGCAGCAGCTGGTCCAGTTCCGCCAGGTCCTCGGCACCCCCGGCCGGTCCCCCGCCCCCTCCGGGTCGGTCCTCCGGGGGCGAGGTGGCCATGAAGCCCGGGTCGTAGTGGCCCCCGAGCAGCGATCGCAGCAGCGTCTCGTTCAGATCCTTCTCCTTAGGGTCAAAGATAGGGTCCGGGTGTTCGATGAGGTCCACCAGGGGCAGGTTGTCGCTGGGAGCCGGGCGGATGTGCAGATAGTGCTGGCCGCCGGCCGGTGCTGCCCGCAACCCCAAGACCACCACCAGGGCGTAGAGGGTGACCCCCAGGCTGGGGCAGCGCTCCATGCCTCCCGCGCGCGCCCCGGGGCTGCCTCTTCGTCCCCGCGTCCCCGGAGGAGAGAGAGAGAGTGAGAGAGAGAGAGAGAGCACGCCGAGCAGCGCTCCCCCCCTCCCCTCACCCCGGTCCCTCCGGAGGCGGCTCACCCGAGGCTGGGCAGGAGCGGCAGGGCAGGCTGCATGAGCCGCGGGGAGAGGAGAGCCGATCGCGCAGCGCCGGCTCCCGCCGCGGCGCAGGAGACGCGCACGAGTTGGCCGCAACTCCCCCCGGCCCCACCTCCGGCGCTCTACTCGGGAAGGCGGCGGCGGCGGCGGCCGGGCATCCGAGCTCACTCCAGCGCGACCGCGGGGCGCAGGGGGCGCCGGCTCCTCGCTGCTCTTCCCGGGGCTGCCGGCGGCGCGGGGCGCGTGGACGAGCCTCTTCCCTTCTCCTCGTCCTCCTCGTCTCCGTCCTCCTCGTCCTCCTCCTCCGGTCGCTCGGCAGTCCTCCCTCTCTCTGCGCGGCGCCGCCGGTCGAGCGGGTCCTGGGCCACTTCCCTCCGCCCGCTCCGGGCTGCGCAGCCGGCTCTGCCCGGCGGACTCCAGCGGCGGCGGCGGCGGCGGCGGCGGCGGTGGCGGCGGCGGCGTCCGCGCACGTTGGCACCGGTTTGTCTGTCTCGCAGGGTTCAAGCCTTTAAATTTCCTGCACTTTCAGCTCCATCACCATGGAAACCACTGACTCTCTCTCCGCGTTGCCCCCTCCCCCTTCTTCCCCCCAAACAACAACCCCACCCCCCACTCCTCCACCCGCGAGGAGCTGGAGCCGCACGGGCTCTCGGGGGGGGGGGTGCAGAGAGGGGGGGTGGTGCGGGTGGCGGTGGAGAGAGAGAGGAAAGCGACTGCGCCGGTCGCGGCGGCTTGCGGCTCCTGCAGCTCCCAGCCGGACCCAGATGCCCCGGGAAGCCGACAGTCAGGCTGCCCGCCGGAGCTCACAGGCGGCAGCAAGCGGCGGTGGCGCTTGGCAGGTCTCCGCGCAATTTTCTCTCCCTCTCCCCCACCCACCCCGCCTTCCACTCCCCCCCCCCCCCCCCCCCCCTCCCCCCCCCCCCCCCCACCAAACCCCCCCCCCCCCCCTCCTTTCTCCTGGAGCAGTGCAATGGGGCTCTAGGCGCCCCGCCAGGGCCAGTCCCGAGGAAAGCTCGCGGCGGCGCTGGAGCCAGGCTGGAGGGTGCAGGGCTGGAGTTGAGGGGTGTGGGCCTGTCGAGGTGGGGCGAGGGGAGTCTCAACTAGCCGGGTGCTTTGCACTGGGAGGGGAGCAGCGAGGAGACGCCGGGCTGTGTGTGTGTGGGGTGGGGGGGAAGGTCGGTTCCTAGCAAGAAATTTCTCCATGTGCATGGAGCATTTTCCCGGGAAAATGCTCCATGCACATGGAGAAATTTCTTGCTAGGAACCGCCCTCACACACACACACACACACACACACACACACACACACACAGTGACTCCAAGAGACGCAGCGTTGCGCGGCGTGATGAAATTTCTAGGCAGCGCTCTTTTGCTTCTCTGCCCCTCAGGCCCCACGGAGTGGGGTGGTCTTCTCACCCTCTTCCTTCTCCTTGGCCTGGTTCTACAGGGTGAGCGTCGGAGAGATGGAGAGGTGCATCATCCTAGCCTGCTGATCCCCCTAACCCTCGCGGTTTGCTTCAACTAGTTTGTCGCCTCCCTGGGGGCGGCGCGCCCTCTGCTGGCCCTTTGCGATCACTGCACCGGGTGCGGGCCGGAGGGGGGTGGGGTGGGTTTGTAGGCTGCCCCTTCTGTCTGACTCAGTTCCAGTGTCTGCATCTGTGCCATTTTATTTATTTATTTATTATTATTATTCATTTTTGTGGGTACTGACCAGCACTTTATGCTTCTGGATGATTTTTCTCAAAGATCTCCAGGCCCTTAGTGTAAACAAACGCCCAAGGTACTCTGATTTCACAGGAATGCAGGTTTCCATCTTTTGGCTGGGGTAAATGGCCTCAGTGGGCCAAGAGTAGTGGCTTGTAAAGCAAAGATATAGAAGTTATGTCCTAGAACCCGAGTTCTGGGTGCCATTCACTCTGGTGTATGTTTGTTGACCTTGGGCAAGTCACTTGTGTTAGCACTCTGAACTTACAGTTTTTGGATTGGTGACCTAATTCCAGGTCTTTTTTTTTTTTTTGACCCCTACCATTTTGAAGTTCTAACAAAACAAGTTAGGTCACTAATCCAGATTCACCATCCATCAAAGGGACACTGCTTATTGAAAAGAAGGAATTATCCCTTTGATGAGAAATGAGAGCTGGCCTGACCCCTCCCACTAATTTTCCTTTGGATGGAGGGCTGGATCGAGACCCAGCTCAGTTTCTTTATGGTGATGGGATTGGCGTCCGGAAGGAGGTGGAGGAGAGAGACTTGGGGCCGTTGTCTCCGGAATTCAGCAGGAGTGGGAGTTAGGCAGTCCCAGCGACACTGCCTGGGACACCCCAACATCTAGATTTTCTTTCAGTCCCCTAAGGAGGAGAGCGCTTTGTTGTATGACCCTTCTGCAAGACCTCAGCACTAAGAGAGAGGTGGCCAGTTTCAGGGGGAAGCACTTCCCTCCACTGTAACGTCCAGACAAGTAGAATTAAACTCTCTGGGGTCTGTCTACAACGAGGTCTTGATCTGATAACCACTGGAGCCAAAAAATGACCTATTGGGACCAGTGTGATCCCAGGACACAGGAGGCTGAGGAAAGGAGATCAGGAGTTTGAGGCCAGCCTGGGGTGCCCAGTGAGTTCTAGGCCAATCTATCTCAAAAACAAATAGAAATGACAAACAATCAGCATTTTTTTTTTTTTTTAAATCGGTCTAGGCCTTAGGGTTGGTGCAGTGGTGAAGATCACTGGCTGATTTTGCAGAGGACTGGGGTTCTATTCCCAGCATCCACATGATGGCTCACAGCTACCCCTAACTCCAGTTCCAGGGGATGTGAGGACCTTTTCTGATCCCTGTGGTCACTGGGCATATAGGTGATGTGTGGAATTATATGCAGGCAAAACCCTCACACATGAAATAAAATCAATAAATCTAAAAAAAACAAAAACCAAACCAAACCAAAACACTAGTCTAGTTCACAAATAATATGTGACTGTCCCAAAGACCTTACTTTTTGATATGTTTTGGCATTAGTGTGTTGCCGCATGAAGATTACATGTCCCAGAGCGATTTTGTCACTGCTGAGAATTAACTAAGAAACCAATTTTTCAGTAAGGACTTTGGAAAATAAACTCCAGTCCAGCCTCCTGAGACAGGGTCAGTTCCAACCAGCGACCACTACTGTGCTGTTTTCTCTTTCATTAGCTCTTTCTTGTATCCTTCAGATCACCTGCGTTTTATTTGAAATGTCAAGCAAGCTGTTTTAAAGTTTATTGTTATTTTATTTTATGTGTCTGAAAGTTTTGCCTGCATGCAGATCTATATGCCACATGTGTCTACAGAGGCCAGAAAAAGGGCACTAAATACCCTGGAACATGAGTTATAGACACCTGTGAGGTAGCAGGTGGGTGCTGGGAATTGAACCCAGGTTCTCCGGAAGAACAGCCAAAGCTCTTAACCACCCAGCCATCGCCCCACCCCCAAATCACCTGTTTCTGTTTAAAAACCAACCCAGAGCCTCCTGTTATTTAGGCTGGATAGATTTGGCTGAACAGCAAAGAAAGAATGGGAACCCACGCATACTTGATGACTGGGTGACTTATTAACGGCGAACCCCACCATGTGATGAGGAGAAGGAGAGGCAAATGAGAGATAACTCAGAGGTGGCCTCACCCTGCAGCCCAGACTCCTGCAGTCCCCGGAGGGGAGAGATGACAAGCACAGGAAGAAAGAACTTAAAGGACGTTGGGAAGGTCCATAGATCACCACACAATTGTCAGCTGGTGTTGCATGCTGGTTTCTGCAACCGTGCTTTCTTTGGACACGTGTAACTGTTTCTGCTCAGTTTTATTATGAGGAACTAAAAGAGTATCAGGGCAGATGTCATATGAACTGTTAAACCACACTTTCGGAGTTGGGAGATGCCACGCTTGGAAAGGCTGTAGCCCCACTCCACTCTGCACTGGAGAGCAGCCCCATATATTCAGGTACCAAATAACTCTGGGTTGTTTCTCTTGGGGTCTAGCACCACCACTCTCTTAATGGCAGAGCTGAACTTTAGCTAATCTGGATGAAGGATAGTGATGTCTCCATCTGATGAAGGGGTGAGGGGTTACTTCAGATATAGGGCATGAGTCTGGAAGACAAAAGAAGCACACTAGACAAGGGGAGAGCCAGAGGATCTCTGGGACATGTTGAGTGGAGGAAGAGCTGCCACTACATCTGTGGAGGTTCAGCGGGAACATGACTTCTGCACTGAGTGGAGCGAGGCCGGGATCCCGGCCCTGCCACTCATCAGCGGTGCAACCTTTACGCCTGCCAGCTTCCTTCTCATCTGTGCACGCCTGTTAGAACGACAGTGTCTAAAGGAGGTGAAGAACTCTCAGGAAGGGTGGTGCTCAGGGCCGAGTAGCTACTAAATGGGATGTCAGCAAATGTTCATTTGGAGAGTCCTGCTGCCCTCAATTGGCCAGCTGCTTCTACTTGGAAGAAGAGAGGGCGGAAGTGGTGGGAAGGCTGATGGAAGGGATGCCAACAGCCACTCTCTGAGTGTGTATGGCTGAGCTGTCCCGTCATGGCTGCCGACCGACCGACCGACCGGCCTTCAGGAGCGCAGGCAATGGAATTTCCGTTAGTTGATTCTGTGCCTCTTGAAGACTGGGCTTGATCAGGTAAAGAGGGGGAGATGTTGCTTTGAAAGGAAGTCGTGGGATGGGGTATGTGCCCAGGGAGGAGTTGCTGTCCGCTAAGGTCTTGAACTGGCTGTCCTTGTGTTTGGACCTTAGCATTGGCTGGGGCTGTGGGCCTCACTAGCTACCATCAGCAGCTACAATGTACATCTGCCTTGGCAGTCCCCACAGCAGGTGTATGCCCTGCAAAGAACTGAAAGATTGTTTCAAACAATTGCTTGGGCAGGTCCCATGTCACAGCAAAGGGAAGCTGGGGGGGGGGGATTCTATGCATATTTTCTTATTTCCTGAAAGAGAAGGCCTGAGGCAGCTGTGGA